CCATTATCTTCTGCTTGTTCCAAAGTTGGGTCATGGCGGCAGCAGCTTGAGCAGGGAAGCCCTGACATCTCTTTCCACAGCCATCTCTTCCAGTTCTTCTGGGAAGATTCCAGCCCAGGCCAACCAGGAGACAGTCTCTCCAGTGTGTCCTGGGTCTTCTCCGGGGTCTCCTCCCAGTTGGACATGTCCGAAACACCTCCCTTGGGAGGCATCTTGGGAGCATCCTTACCAGATGCCCGAACCACCTCAACTGGCTCCTCTCAATGTGAAGGAGCAGTGGTTTAACTCCAAGTCTCTCCTGGATAACTGAACTTCTTACCTTATCTCACCAATCCGTCTGTCAATCTCACGCTTCATTTTTCCCCCGCTCGTGAACAAAACCCCAAGATACTTGAACTCCTGCACTTGAGGCAGAAACTCACTCTCAATCCAAAGGGATCAATCCACCTTTTTATAACTGCGGACTGTGGCCTCAGATTTGGAGGTGCTGATTCTCATGCCAGGTTCTTCACACTCAGCTGCAAACTGCTTCAGGGAGAGCTGAAGATCACAGCATGATGACACCAACAGCACTACTTCATCTGCAAAGAGCAGAGATGGAATCCTGAGGCCATCGAACCTGACTCCCTCCGCCCCCTGGCTGCACCAAGAAATTATGTCCATTAAAGATATCATAGAATCAATGAAAATGGACAGCCCTGGCAGAGTCCACCTCCCACCCTGGCGGAGTTTACCTCCCACCCTGGAGGGGTCCGACTTACTGCCGGCAATGCGAACCAAACTCTTTTATCGGTTGTACAGGGACCAAACAGCCCATAGCAATGGGCCCCCAATTCCTTACTCGTGAAGCACCTCCCACAGTGTGCCCCGAGGAGCATAGTCAGTCATCTTCTTCAAGTCCACAAAACACATTTAGACTAGATGGGAATACTCCCATGACCCCTCAAGGACCTAGTGAGATTAAAGAGCTGGCCCAGTGTTCCACAGCCAGGATCAAACCCACATTGTTCCTCCTGGATCTGAGGTTCAACCAATGATTGGACTCAATTCTCCAATACCCCTGAATAGACCTTACCAGGGACGGTAAGTAGAGTGATGCCCCTATAATTGGAGCACATCCTACGGTTACACTTTTTGAAAGGGGGAACAACCACCCCAGTCTGCCCATCCAATGGTACTGCCCCCGATGTCCACGCAATGTTGCAAAGCTGTGCCAACCAAGACAGCCCCACAACATCCACAGCCTTAAGGAAATCATGGCAAATCTTCAATCAATCAATCAATCAATCAACTTTATTTATATAGCACATTTTAAAAACCACAAGGGTAGCCAAAGTGCTGCACAATAAAACAATAAAAACATACAAAGCATACACAAAGAAACATAAAAACCATTCACATACCAGTTTCACAGCAGGCGTATTAAAAAGCCATAAAAGATAAGATCACGTGTTAAAAGCCAAAAAATAAAAGTGTGTCTTTAAAAGAGATTTAAAAACAGGAAGAGAGGAGGCCTGTCTGACACTCAAGGGTAAAGTGTTCCACAACCTGGGAGCAACAACAGCAAACGCTCTGTCACCTCTGAGCTTCAGCCTAGTTTTAGGGACCGTCAGCAGCAGCTGATCAGCTGATCGTAGGGATCGGGGTGGACAGTAAGGCTGAAGCAGCTCAGACAGATATGGTGGGGCAAGGTTGTTCAGACATTTAAAAACAAACAGCTCTTGTCCATCTCCAGAGCCTTGCTGCCTACTCTGACTCAATGTCCCCCGCCTCAGCTGGGATGTGGCTAAAGTTCTCCCGAAGGTGTAGATTAAAGATCGTTCTGACAGGTTCTTCTGCTAGGGTTCACAGCAAACTCTCATTATCTCATTACCTGTTTGTGTCTACGGGGTCAGTCTGGCATCTTCCCCCACTATCTGGCGATCAGTTAACTTATCCCAAGAGCCAGCTTTGGTAAGCCAGAGTCAGTGCACCAAGGCCCCCACCTTCATCCATTGCCCATGGCATCATGTACTCATGTACTCAACTCGTATGGCCCCTCCTGCAGGTGGTGGGCCCACAGGAAGGCAAGTCCCTGTTGCTTGTTTGGTCTGAGCCCGACCAGGCCCATGGGTAGAGACCCAGTCAGCAGACGGTGGCCGACGAGATCCTCCCCCAAGCCTGGCTCCAGGGTGGGGCCCCGGTAACTCACGTCTGGGCAAGGAAAACTTTGCTTGTTATTTATTTATTTTTAATCCGCTTATTTAAAAATACTTGTTGTAAATCTCACTTAACAAACATATAACTAAAAGCTATTTGTAAATGCCCATCACATTTAATTTTAATATTTATTAATAAACAAAACTCAAACAAGAAACTTTAGAAAAATTATAGAGTTGTCTTTATGCATTTGGAGAAAACCATCATATTTATCAAAGCCATGACACAAGCGCTGATCAAAGGACTGTTTTAGTCCTAAAACATGAAAAATAATGTAACAGTTAAATAGTTTTAATATTAATACCACGAACCTTAAAAAAACTCTTTTTGATGTTTGTTTACAAAAGTTTGTAACCAGGACCAATTGATCCCTGGCAACTTAAAATTACCTTATTTTGTACTTTAAAGTTTAAATTTGAATTTATTTGAAATTTAATAAATACATATATTTATCTTTTCACAACTAAAAAGCTTTAAGACCAGAGATACGTCTTCCAGTGCCATCAAAGTGGCTCCATTTCAGCTGGAGTCTGTGCAACAGATGAACCGAGCAAAGTGCCCACTGACCAGCATGATTAAATCATACATCACAGGCCCCTAAAAAAAGATGTGGAAAAAAACACAAGTCACATTTAAAACACAGTTTATAATTACTCTCAGCTCCTTCATGTTCTGTATTTCCAAACTTTCCAGCATAGAGATTTTGTAACCATTTTTTTGTATTGTTACTATGAAGCTACTCCCCGTTTTTTCTTCTTTTTCCCTCTTTTTTATGTTGAAGTCTGGATAATTTATTAGAGATTACCCTGTCTGGGAAGGCTTTTTCTATAGCTCACTTTACTACATTCATCATTCATCCTCATAACAGATAGCATTCCACATTTATCACCGTGCGCCCGTCTCATCTGAACACCCATGCATGCCAGCATGTGTTGGACGTATGCATTGCGTGGTTGTTCGTGCTTATGTGGACAAGTATTCCTACCTCACTGTGTTTGTGTGTGAATTATGATAGGCCAGCCAGACTTCCATGTGTCTGACTGGCTGATCATAAATTATTCTGAAAGAAACCACACACACCCCCACACACACAAACTCTGGAAGCTTTCAGTCACAGGTCGTATACAGCCGATCGGTTTGTGCGTGCACGTGCATCCACACAGAGAGCCACAAAGTAATGGGCTCGATAAGATCAAACTTTGATCCAGTGAAGGTGTACAAACACAAACTGTATGCAGTCTTGTTTATTAAACGTTTTCTGTCACTTAAAAATTCTCTGGCAAAATAAAGATTCAGTGTAGCAAGCCATAATATTCATTGGAAATAAATATAAATGCTGCTAATAGGAAGCAGCATCATCATTCAGAGTTCAACTTGAAGCCAGATCATGCTGCCCTCCAAGTAAAATGGTCTTCCAGCTCAGAAGAGACTGTTGGGGGACTTTGTTCTCTCTTCTGATAAGTTTTGTTTAAAGTCCTACGGTCTTAGGTTAGACATATTCTGCTGCTTGGAAATGTCTCAGCCCTGTGATTTACTGCTTCACAGTTCTTTAAAATATACATTTATTAATAAGAAAATCAACAAACTTGGTCCTTCTTGTCTTTCGTAACGTTTCTTTTACCGCATTAACAATTATTCTACTCCAATCTATAATATAATTAAAATAGAAATGATGTTTGTTTGTTTTTTTCATCATACTGTTAGGTTAAGTGATAAGGATTTCTCTCTGGCAAATACGAATATATAGGAATCAAGATAACTGATTATCAATATACAATATAGGCCCAATTTCATCCCATTTTATTCATAACTGTAACAGTGGATTATCCACAAGAAACCTACTCAAATTAGATAAAACAAATTAAAACAATTGTTACACCTTTTTCTAGTAACTTCCATCTAGTCATGGGGTGGGTAAGCAGAGGCTAGAGAAAATGGGCCTGTGATCGGAATGTCACTGGTTCGACTCCCCGGACCGACAACGTCAAAATTTGAAACACCCACACCTGCCTCCACCCTCATTTGCCCTATTCTGGGCTCTTGAGCAGGGCTCTTAACCCCCAACATCTGCTCCTCCGGGCGCCCTAGATGGCGGATCTCTGCTCCACACAGAGGGCTGTGGTAGCTCGTTGGTCTGTGGTTGTGTCAGGAAGAGCATCCGGCGTAAAAAACATTGCCACGTCTTCTTGCGAGTTTGTTCACTATGATGACCCCGGAAGAAGGAAGCAACTGAAAGAAGAAAAACAATATTCTAGTCAACTTCCTTTTAGGTCTTTTGGTGTTACGCTAAAAACAAGCACCACGTCATAATGGAGTCATAGTAAGTGCTGTTTGATTGACACATGAGTGTGACGCCAATTTCTGCTTAATTGGTTCATTATACTTAGGCCTGAGTGATCCTGATTTGTTTTAAAGTGGCAATAACTGATCACTAGTAGTTGGCCAACCAATTAGTCACCCATGATAATATTAATTTTATTAATTTTATTAATTTTATTAATTTTATAGCGCTGAAATTATCTCATTGCTAATAAAACTTGACTCAGCTGGGTAGTTTGAAGTTTATTTAGTTATAAAAGTAAACATTTTACTTTGTATTAAGAGCCCTCAAACTAATTGCCTTCCATTGCGTGTGCTGTAGAGTAATTATCAACAAATACAACGCCATGACAATTAGACATGCAAGATTAGATATGAAGCCAACCACATTTCTGAAATCGCAGGCTTGTATCTCACTGCACACCTGAGATGTTTCCATTCCTGTCTAGGTCATGGATTTGATTTTTTTTTTCTCCCCCCAGGTGCAGTACAGTGATGCACAGAATGGGAAGGAGTTTGTGACCTACTTGACCTTATCCCCAGTGCAAATGACTTTCCACGGCACCGGGAGCACCCTCCAAGCCAGCCACGACCAGGTAAGTTTATGTGCAAATATTAATGTTTTTTTTTACCTTTATCATTTAGTGTTTTAACCGTTATTTATTCTTGCTCTGTCTAAACACTTCCATTAGAAAATAAATAGGAAGGTTTTGAACTATACGTAACTGTTATTTTGCATAAATGCGACAACAAATTTCAATCTAAAACAGTTAGCATTTTGATTTTGCATAGCGATACTAAACACACATTAGTGTATCAGTTACAAAGCTATTTCTAATCCACTATAACTTGATGTATCTCATTGATACTTTAAACATAATTTTTCTTAAGTGAAATAATAGTATTAAAAAAACATGAATTAATGGGCCCTGTGATGGACTTGCGACCTGTCCAGGGTGTACCCCGCCCCTCGCACAGTGATTGCCGGACATGGGCACCGGCGACCCCCGTGACCCAAAATGAAAGAAGCGGGTAAAAGATAATGGCTGGATGGATGAATTAATGGGAGTTGATCTCATTGAGGGATAGGTGCAGTATTTGATTCCAGTGAAACAGATGATGCTGCGTTCACTGACATTATGGAACTTTTAAAGTTTAGTGCTAAATGCTCTTGCTCATGTTTTATTTTAGGTTTTTCCTTTATAGATGTTCCACTACTGCACCATTACAAGAAGTGTAATGAAATGATGCTACATCTGATAGAAAAAGCCCATTGTTTCTACATCCCTCAGAAAAATATGATTACATTAATGTGTATCACTTGATGATTCTGGGATGAGACTTTGACAACGATTCACATTACTTTATTAACAAGGATATATTTGGCTCTGCAACGTTAATGTTTAATCTCAGAGCATCCAAGCCACCTGTAATAATAGGGCTTCTAGTGTTTTAATTCGTTCCACTGCAAACATCTGATGGAGTATCTTTCCAACTTGGTATGAACCTCTCGTTTTTTCTCCCCTTTCTCCCTGTCTAGTTTTCTCACTCATTCTCTTATGCATACTCCCTGTATTCTGAAGGAGGCTCTTTGTCTTGTGTTGCCCAAGCAGAAAACCAGTTGCTTACATTCTATCATCTAAACATAGGACGCCCCTTTGTTCAGCAGTCTTCAAAGCTTTAATAAAGGGCCGACTCAGCCCCGAATGGGACAGCTGACGGGGGGCTAGTGTCGCCACCGCTAATGGAGAGCCAAGCCAATATAGGGCAGGCAGGTCTGCGTCCTTGGGACCTGTTGTTGCCAGGAGCACTGGGGCATGACCGACTGTTAGAGAAGGCCTTTCTTTTCCTCTTCTCAGTACAGTGAAGAGTTTGGCCACAAAGGGAGCACCTAACAATAAGGGGGTCAACGTCGGCAGCCCCTCAAATCCCAACATATGCACAGACCTTAAGGCGTCGCCTCTTCACGATGGTGCATGGATAGGGGCACAGACACTAGATATGCATACTAAGGATGGGTGTGCTGTTGTGGTACAAGTAAAGCCCTCACAGTTGGCATATTAAGTTCCCTAATCTGCTGGTGCATGTTCGGGATCTCTTTGCACAGTTTATGCTGGTGTATTGTGTTTCTTAGATGTTAATCTGTAGTTTGAGAGAGTTCCACATGTTTCCTACAACGTCTGTAGACCTTACCACTAACTTTTACACTCAAAACAAAATATTCAATTAGCTGCTATAAATGTGATGACGTAGAAGGAGGAATATGTTCCTGGAGCCTGCCGCTGTTTCTGCACGCACAGTTTACAAGCCGGCATCGAGATACAGTCAGTGTCAAACTATATATTTCAGATAATTTCCTGCAGCATTATTTGTGCTTCTGGGAAGGTCGGTGTCATTTATTTAAAGCAACGGACAAAGATCATTGGTCAAAGGAAATTAGCGCACCTGTTAGCATGATGTATTAAAGAGATGGGATCAATATATTACCGGTAATTGCACTTTGGAATAATTTCACGAAATAACAGAACTTTAATTTTTCTTCAAAGATCTGCTTTTATGTTTGTTTTTTGCAGTATGATCTTGGCTTCTTAATAAATCAATGAAATAGTTTCAGCATTTTTTTTTTTTAATCGAGTACATTAAATAAATGTCTTCTTATGTCACTTATTGATTTCCCCTGTTGTCCAGACCATTACCATAGTTTAAAGTTAATAGATTGAGTTTATCAGATATTTATTACTTAATTACCCAATTATTAAAGTCTAAAATGCAGTATATTGCTATCCAACATGTTGTTTCTAAACAAGGGGTTCGCAAATATTTTGGGTTCAGAGACCCCTTACAGAAGAGAAAAAGTTTCAGGGACCCGCTCATAACCCTGTTTATTAAATAATTTTCTTCAGTTTGTCTCTTTAATGCAATGGAAATATTTGTGTAACATAAATACTTAAGGCCTGTTCTTTAATAGTGTTAATACAATTTTTATACTTTTAAACTGTTTTTCATTGAAGAAACACTTAATTAACAAAATGTTTAATTTCAACTTCCAAAAGTTACAGTTTTGAGAAAATTAACAGTTTCATAAAACACTTTAAAACTTTACCTGTTAACATAATAAACATAATAAATGTATTGCCACTTCTTCAAATTATTACAGAAAACTCTTTGCATAAAACTGAACAGAATCGTAACAGCAGTAGTCAGACCAAGTAACGGGGCTTAATTTGTAAACCAGTCAATGCTGGAATGCAAATAGAGGAGGGAGGGGTCTGCCCCCAGAAAATTTGAATAAATTAAATGTGATTTCCTGCATTTTGGTGTATTTTAATGGGTTGTTAAACATCTGTGTGCTTGTAAAGAAAAATATGTACACACGTTTATATATATATATATATATATATATATATATATATATATATTTTTTTTTTTTTTTTTTTTTTTGGACCCCCAAGCACCTGGGGGGTCCGGGGACCCCAGTTTGAGAACTACTGCTCTAAACAACATTAATTTCTGTATGTCAAGAAGGTCACTGTAGTATTACAACTGTAGCCAACTTGGCAAACATCATTAGGCATTTTTTTACATTTTCACAATATAATATAACAATAAGATGTTAGTCCTTTGAATACTTACCATTTTTTGCTGTCACTTATTTAAAATGTGTTTTTTCACACATATATATATATATGTGTGTATGTATGTATGTATGTATATATATATATATATATATATATATATATATATATATATATATAT